GATTTACGATCACGAAAGGGCTGGATATAGAACAATCCTTTTTGAGGTGAGAATGAGAGACTGGGACTCTGAGGAGCACAGGGACCGGCCACCTGCTGGGACTCTGAGGAGCACAGGGACTGACCTCGTGCTGGGACTCTGAGGAGCACAGGGACTAACCTCGTGCTGGGACTCTGAGGAGCACAGGGACCGGCCTCCTGCTGGGACTCAGAGGAGCACAGGGACTGGCCTCCTGCTGGGACTCTGAGGAGCTCAGGGACAGGCCTCCTGCTGGGACTCTGAGGAGCACAGGGACTGGCCTCCTGCTGGGACTCTGAGGAGCTCAGGGACAGGCCTCCTGCTGGGACTCAGAGGAGCACAGGGACTGGCCTCATGCTGGGACTCAGAGGAGCACAGGGACCGGCCTCATGCTGGGACTCTGAGGAGCACAGGGACTGGCCTCCTGCTGGGACTCTGAGGAGCACAGGGACTGGCCTCCTGCTGGGACTCTGAGGAGCACAGGGACTGGCCTCCTGCTGGGACTCTGAGGAGCACAGGGACCGGCCTCCTGCTGGGACTCAGAGGATCACAGGGACTGGCCTCCTGCTGGGACTCTGAGGAGCTCAGGGACAGGCCTCCTGCTGGGACTCTGAGGAGCTCAGGGACTGGCCTCATGCTGGGACTCTGAGGAGCACAGGGACTGGCCTCCTGCTAGGACTCTGAGGAGCACAGGGACTGGCCTCCTGCTGGGACTCTGAGGAGCTCAGGGACTGGCCTCATGCTGGGACTCTGAGGAGCACAGGGACTGGCCTCCTGCTGGGACTCTGAGGAGCACAGGGACCGGCCTCCTGCTGGGACTCAGAGGATCACAGGGACTGGCCTCCTGCTGGGACTCTGAGGAGCTCAGGGACAGGCCTCCTGCTGGGACTCTGAGGAGCACAGGGACCGGCCTCCTGCTGGGACTCTGAGGAGCACAGGGACTGGCCTCCTGCTGGGACTCTGAGGAGCACAGGGACTGGCCTCCTGCTGGGACTCTGAGGAGCACAGGGACTGGCCTCCTGCTGGGACTCAGAGGAGCACAGGGACTGGCCTCATGCTGGGACTCTGAGGAGCACAGGGACTGGCCTCCTGCTGGTACCCAGAGTCAGGACTAAACATGGGGAGAGAGCATTTCAGATTCATGCAGCTAAAATCTGAAACCGTCTTCCTGAAAATGTGAGACAGGCTTCATCTCTGCTGCCCAATGTGTGCCAGCTGACGCCTGCGCAAATGATTCAGCGCGCTCCGAGTCTCCGCCCAGAAAGCGTTTTTTCTTGTGGACGGGACCACTCACGGCCATTTTGAAACCCTCCAAGAGAGCACTATTTTTGGCCCATTTGTTTGAACGACAAAGAAAGGCGTGGTTCAAACTTGCTTCTCTGATCTGCGATGGACAGCTGTATTCAATTGACAACTTCGCAAAATCCTCCGACAAGACTGCTACAAATACATTCAATCTTAAAAAGCCCAAACGCGACAATTTCCCATAACTAGTCCTCTTTACGGCAACAGATGATTGCTTCTGATTGGCCGCCTGCTTCTACACACTGATCTAAAATCTTGGTTGTGATGAATGAGAAATAGCTTCATTGACGCACAAGCTTGAGTGTAATTGTGCGTCTTTCCTGTGTGTGCGTTCGTCAGTATTACTCCACAAAACACAGCACAATGGCCTTTGTTTCTTGTGGGATTTAATCGTATAGCTCAGTCCTTGCGGCGGCTGCAGTGATGGCATCATTATCGTGTGACGACCGCAGTTTGAGACGCTCATCACGAAGCTCCATAGAAACGCTCTGCACCAAAGTCACAAAACAAAAAGACGTTTGCACCTGAGAGGAAGGATAACGTTTACACTTATTGTCATCATTCTTATTTATCTGTTATTTATTTACTTCTTGTGTCATGAGAAATGTGTTTTATCTGACAATATTTTCTAGTAGGTTTTGGGTCAAATGTTAAAAATATAGATATAAAAGAAGATTTATGGTTAAGTATAAAAATTGGTCTAACTTAACTTCTCAATACATGTTTAACATTTTAGAACAAATTAGTTATATGTTTGTTTGTGTAAGACCATCTAGAATACGGATTATTAAGTGCTTAACTTTAAATCACTTCTGTTCCTTCATTTTGTTCTTTAATGTTTATTTTATGTGTTTTGTAAAGCGCCTTTGAGTGTCCAAAAAGCGCTGCATTTAACTGTGGTTAAAGTTCTAACTCATCATTCTAACATATGCAGAAGCCAGTACTTTTCCATTGTTTTGGTTATCTTAAGGTTGAAGCCACTGGCACCACGGCAGCTGCTGATTGGAGGCCTCCGTTTCTCCTGCTGTATATTAACACTTCCATTTTGTATAATCCTTGTTCGTGCGTCTACCATCAACAATAACATGTCTTCTGTCTGAATTAAAGACACGATCCCAGACTTTGTCCTCTTCTTCAGGTGGTGGAGAATGCGGGCATCGATCCCGCAACCTCTCGCATCTCCTTCAATAATATTATTATCATTATTGGTCTCCGTCCTTGTTTGGACCAACGGCTCAATGTGTTTTTATCATTGCATTTGCTGTGTTTGAACGTTTTGATTTTCTGATCTGTGTTGGGGAATTGACAGCGTCGTAAAGTCCTGTTGGGATTTAGGACGAAACAAAAAATGAAGGGCTCAGTGGCTCAGTTGGAAGAGCATTGGCCTTTGAGCCTGAAGGTCGTGGGTTCAAGCCCACCATAAGACCTACTTCACGACTCCTACTGATCTCTGTTGTTGTTGTGTCCTTGAGCAAGACACTTAACCCCACTTTGCCTGAAGCCCCCGCTAAAAGATCTCAGCTCCTGTGGATTCACCCCCTGCAGGAGGATCAGTGAGGGGCTGGTGCTCTGTGGACTGGGTGGCATCACTGACTGCCACCCCCCCCCCCCCCCCCCCCGACCCAGAAATGGATAAAGGGGAAGATGGATGGATGGACAAAATAGTTTAAATGTCTCAGATTCTCTTGTATTCTCTTTACCACTGTGTGCCGTCAACTATATTTTAGATGAGAAATATAAAAACAGATTTAATACATGGAAAGCTATTGTAAATATTTGCAAGATCATTATATAGAGTAAAATCAACAAAAAATATTCCGAATAGTTGGAGATCAGAGAAACCATGGACATTGGTCTCTGCCCCGTATGGACCAATGACTATGTGGCTTTTATCATTTCACTTCCTGTTTGAACGGTTTGATTCTCTGATCTGTGTGTTGACGAAATCGACAGCTTTGCACAGTCCTCAGCGATAACCACTGTTGTGATTTCGGCCTACAGCAGAACTAACTCCACAACAAAGTGTAATAAAATATAACAAAATGCAACTTTGTCCACAAGACTGTAATTGTTGGTAATGGATTTTGGTTGAAGCTAATTGCGTGCGCGCTAATTGCATAAGGCTGGAGATGTACGACTAGTGCAGCGAGAGTGGAAATGTACCAGCCACTTTTGTGTGGGAGTAATGGAAAGACCTCGAGAAATGAACACGGCTTGGTTTGAATGTCTGAAAAACACAGATTGCATTATGTATGAAATGAAAAAAAAAAAACATGAAAGTTCTTGAGGACATTAAGCCTCTAATACCGCCCACGCCAACTTTGTCGCCAACTTTGAAATCATCAATGGGACAAACAGAGAGTGGAAAGTTTTGGTTTAAAAGTGCTCTGAGAAAGTATTTACTTGAATTGTTGTAGGCTCAGAGTTCAACATATTAGGCCCTGTCCCAGTACTCGCACTTCCAACCTGGCGCCCCTCATGTGCGCGTTCCCGATGATGGGTGCGAGTGCGTAGGGTACAGTCCCAATTCTCCAGGGTGGTCTTTGGCCCCGCCCCCTTTACACCCATGATCCACACTTTGCCGTAGCCTGCATCTAAGCAGACTCTGGATATTGCCCATAATTCTTTGCGGTTCACACCAAAACGTCAGGAAAATGCATTTAAGTGTAAGTTTTGAAATATATATGCAGTATGTGTGTAAATAAGTTTTGCTGTTACTTGGAAAGAAGCATAAATGTCTGATGAATAATTACGGACATTATATGGTAACAATTTCATAACTTTTTAAAGCAAGCGTTCATAAAACATTCAATTTAAACTTCACACTTAGTACCATAAACTTAGGATGTACAAAAACTTACCAGATAACAGTTAGTTACCCACATTTAACTTAAAATTATACAGCTATCTAAAATTACGAAAAACCCACATGTATTTTAGCGTGTGTGGAGCCTCTCATTTTGTTTCCCACAGGGTCAGATAAAATAACCTTTAATTTTTATAAAGTTTAGGTCTGAAAATGACCGTCTCTGGACGAGTCGATGATGTCACCTGCACTGTCCCAATTCCGCATTTTTTGCCTGTAACCTGCCACTCAAACCCTTGCGTGCACTTCAAACAAATGCACACTTTGTAGAGGTTTGTAGGGTGCATTGTGGGTATTGGGACAGGGCCATCTTGAAATACAGTGGTTGATAAGGGACAAAAAGGAGTGTCCTACGAAGCTACCGTACTATTGTAGATTACAATTTATGATCTCAATGCAAGATGGGAGTAAAAACTAAAGTCAAGGAGAGGTTGCAGTACCACTTTTAGCCAGATTTTTACATAATGCTCCTTTAAAACTAGATTTCTCAATGGGACAAAGCAATATGATGTCTCCCTAATGAGAACAGTTAAATCTTGTTTTTGGACAGTCAGAATGTGCTCAAAATAGGATAAAAACCACTTAATTCAAACCATTATCACCTCATATGTTACCATTTTTTGCAGTGTACAGCGCATGCCAGACTGAGACCCTGAAGACTAAACATGAGACAGGAGAAAACTTGGTGAAGCAGTTGCATTTTTACATCTGCAACTTTTGAAGAACCAAGAGAGAAAGAGCAGTTTGTGATGATTCCTCCACTTCTGTGTCTGAAATCGGAACATTTAAAAGTGTTGTTGGGAGTTGCCTGATGTCTCCTCGTGCAGAAGCCTCCCCCGGCAGCGGCGCTTATGTTTTGGCTTCTCCGCAGAGTTCCCACGGCGCCTCCATCCCGCGACAGGAGCAGACTTGTTGCTGTGAGTGCGAGGAGGAGGTAATGAGGCACAGCGAACATGTTTCTAATCTAACCAGAGCCAAAGCTGCCGGATACGGGGCTTTCGCACGAGGATGTGACACGCCGATGCATTTGTTCTTTCGTTTTTGAAAGTGCCAGAATTCCCCCTGAATGATGTGGCTTCTTCGATTTGTTCAAGCCTGTGATTAAAAGGGGCTAGTTAGGGTAAGGTTTTGGTTTAGTTTGGAGTAAAATCTCTGTATGAAACCAAAACCGAGATCCCCCAGCACTATCTATTGTGTATTAAGTAGTATATGGAGGAAGTGATTAATAAGTGACGACGAGAAAGACCAACACTAACATCTGGTAGCAGAAGTGGGAAATGTGCCGTAGAGTTAGAAGTAAAGTTAAAGTCCTCCCCTTGTTGTTGCAGAGAAATCTGTCAATCTCACCTGACAACATTTAATCTCTGTCAGGTGGCAAGCTTTCATTCCATTTGTGCAGCAACCCTCCTCCTCCCCATCACCGCTTTGTTTGCCAAACCAGCTCTTTAACCTCTCTCTTTTCTCCCACTGCTGGGGTCTAGTTCCCCGCAGGATTTCATCTCATAATCTCCATTTTCATTTCCCTTTCTGCATTCTTCATGCTCAACCCATGAACTGTAAAAATCTCTCATGTGCCACCATTCTTTGCCTTCTTTGGGGCTTTCTCAAAATATATTTTTCCCGCAAGAAAAAGTGAAAAAACGCATTTGCGCTTGCATCAGCTGCACGAGCTCCATTCATTTAACGAGTGCCTTCTGAAGTCCACAGCGGCTAAACTAGACTGGTCCAAAAAATACTCAGCACCGACAGCATCTGCAATGTAGCGTTGTCCAAGAGCCACTTTTAGACCATCCTCTACAGACGTTTTTGAGAAGAAAGAAGACACCATACAAAAGCATTGGATAATTCTATTTCTGGGTCCACCCCCACTGGCTTGGGGCGGTATTGCAAGTATATCAGCGCACATGCCCATGGATGTTCTTTTTTTGCTTACAATCCCTAGTACTTTGTGATAATTTATGTAGTGACAGATTAATTACTACAGATTGAAATGATACAAGGTGCCAGTACATTCTCATATTAAAGTACAGTAGCTTGAAAGGAGCCTGTATATAGACTGGAAAATGCTAACCTGCTAGCTCTATGATGCTAATTAGTGCTCAATGATAAAGCTCTCAATCACTTCTAATGGAAATCAATCTCCTTTTACTCTGGTGTCACACTCACCATGTTGGGCTTGAAAATCTGTGGTTAAATTCTCTGATATTCCAGACATGACCCCTAACTATCGACCAGTCAAGTGCCCTCTGCCCCCAAATCTGGCTTCAGCAAATGGCACGAGCGGGAAGAGACCAGCCTCTGTGCGGCTAATATTTTTGGCTGCATATTTCTGCTCATGTAACCTGTTTTAATTAGCTCCTATCGACTTCTTTAATAATACGGGAAACTGTCTGTGTCTGGAGCGTTTTGATGAGGTAATAAAACAATAACGTAGAGTAATTTCTCTTCTGCCACTAGGGCCTCCATCAGGCGCAGCAGTGATAGCCACAGTGCAGCGCCTCGGGACCATCTCCAGCTGTTTTTATTGACCTTTATTTAACCAGAAGAATCTCTTTTTTTTTATCAGAGTACCGGCCCCAGAAAGAGGGGAATATTGTACCTGTTTTTAGTGGTCAGGGAAAAAGCATGTATATACAGTATCTCCAGTATATGTACAGTATATGTAGTAGTATATGCAGTGGTATAGGTGCAGTATATTTAGCAGTTTAAGTAGTAGTAAATGTACAGTAAATGCAGTAGTATATGTAGTAGTATATGCAGTGGTATAGGTGCAGTATATGTAGTAGTAAATGTACAGTAAATGCAGTAGTATATGTAGTAGTATATGTAGTAGTATATGCAGTGGTATAGGTGCAGTATATTTAGCAGTTTAAGTAGTAGTAAATGTACAGTAAATGCAGTAGTATATGTAGTAGTATATGTAGTAGTATATGTAGTAGTATATGTAGTAGTATATGTAGTGTGTAGTCCCTGTGCTCTGTCAACTCCACTGCACTAAACCTGCATTAACAGATGGAGCAAGAAGCAGGAGCGGGCGCCAGGATTCCCACAGGGGTCATACCTGGCACCCCTCCTCTTCCTCCTTCTCCTCCTCTTCCTCCTCCTCCACTGCCCTTGAGCTCATGCAAAGGTGCCTATTGTCAGCATCAGGTGCTCGGGCCCCGACGGCGGCTCAGGGGCCTCCATAAGTCAATGAATATTAATGATGTCATGTTCTGGTGCATGTGTGAAGAGGGGCCAAGACCACAGGGACTTTACTGTCTCCTCTTCATCAGTCACTGTACCAGCAACTGCTCCTGCTGCTGAGACCAGAGCAACACCAGAAACTGCTCCTGCTGCTGAGACCAGAGCAACACCAGCAACTGCTCCTGCTGCTGAGACCAGAGCAACACCAGCAACTGCTCCTGCTGCTGAGACCAGAGCAACACCAGCAACTGCTCCTGCTGCTGAGACCAGAGCAACACCAGCAACTGCTCCTGCTGCTGAGACCAGAGCAACACCAGCAACTGCTCCTGCTGCTGAGACCAGAGCAACACCAGCAACTGCTCCTGCTGCTGAGACCAGAGCAACACCAGCAACTGCTCCTGCTGCTGAGACCAGAGCAACACCAGCAACTGCTCCTGCTGCTGAGACCAGAGCAACACCAGCAACTGCTCCTGCTGCTGAGACCAGAGCAACACCAGCAACTGCTCCTGCTGCTGAGACCAGAGCAACACCAGCAACTGCTCCTGCTGCTGAGACCAGAGCAACACCAGAAACTGCTCCTGCTGCTGAGACCAGAGCAACACCAGTAACACCAGTAACACCAGTAACACCAGTAACACCAGTAACACCAGTAACATCAGTAACACCAGTAACACCAGTAACACCAGTAACACCAGTAACACCAGTAACATCAGTAACACCAGTAACACCAGTAACACCAGTAACACCAGTAACACCAGTAACACGACAGCTGTGGAGGTGAGGGATTCTTTCATAGATTTCACACGTCCTCAGGGAAAAGCAACGGCAATGAAACAGGTTTGGTCAACACATTTAGAACGGGCCTCTTGGACACACACACACGCACACACACACACACGCACACGCACACAGACACACACACACAGACACATGCGCACACGCACGCACGCACGCACACAGACACAGACACAGACACACGCGCACACGCACGCACACAGACACACACGCACACACACACGCACACGCACATGCACTGAGAGCCAAAGCAAATCCCTAGTTTGTGACTTCCTTCCTTACACACATGGCAATAAAAAGGATTATTATATGACTTGGATCATACGCGCGCTCTGATTGGCTGATTACCGGTCTGATATTTTCCCATCTCGGACCGTTACCATGACGATTGATCCGAACAGCACGTATCACATTTGATATCTTTCCTCGGACCGTTACCATGACAATCGGTCCACGGCCCGTATCACACAAAACCAAGTCGGACATGAGAGTTCAGATAGTTTTTCCATAATCTCCACACACGGTGATGACAGAAGCGAGTCCAGAACACACTGGACCATCAAAGCCTCTGACCCAACACCATCCAGTCACTCTCTCATTTACATTCAGACCTATTGTGCATGTTTTTAGTGGTAGGGGAAACCGGAGCACCTGGAGGAAACCTACGCAGACACGGGAAGAACATGCAAACTCCACTCAGAAAGGCCCTGTTCCCACCAGGATTCAAACCCAGGACATTCTTGCAGAGAAGCGAGAGTGCTATCGACTCAACCACCGTGCCGCCAAGACAAACGCAAATACTTTGGCGTCTCAGACATGAACAAGCGGCACTGTCATGACCGTTTGTCATGACGGTGACTTCAGAAGAAAAAGCTGGGAATTCTCTGAGAAACGGAAAAGTGAAATAACGTTTAAACGAATCATGACTAATCGCTGAAGCATCGGCCTCAAATAAACATGTCACCTGCTTTCACCGCCCACGAAACACTGAGTAATCCACAGCCAGAGACAAAGAGCCGCGTCTGACTCAGCCCAGAAGACGAAAAACATACTCAAAACAAGCGACAATAGCTGGAAAAAAGCAAAAGAGAAGAACCGATAAGTTCACGATTAAGATCTGAGGTTTGTGTTTGTGTTGTTGGTTTTAAAAGTCATCCAGTCGTTTATAAACTTACATTTTGTTCGGAAAGTTCAGGTTCAAACTCATGGATCTACAGCCTCTCTTTCCAAACTGGGAGCCTTTTCAGTTCTCGGTCTATACAGTCTCAGTCCTGGGTCTACAGCCTCAGTCCAGCCTCAGTCCTGGATCTACAGCCTCAGTCCTGGATCTACAGCCTCAGTCCTGGATCTACAGTCTCAGTCCTGGATCTACAGTCTCAGTCCTGGATCCACAGCCTCAGTCCTGGATCCACAGCCTCAGTCCTGGATCCACAGCCTCAGTCCTGGATCTACAGCCTCAGTCCTGGATCTACAGCCTCAGTCCTGGATCTACAGCCTCAGTCCTGGATCTACAGTCTCAGTCCTGGATCCACAGCCTCAGTCCTGGATCTACAGCCTCAGTCCTGGATCTACAGCCTCAGTCCTGGGTCTACAGCCTCAGTCCTGGATCTACAGCCTCAGTCCTGGATCTACAGTCTCAGTCCTGGATCCACAGCCTCAGTCCTGGATCTACAGCCTCAGTCCTGGGTCTACAGCCTCAGTCCTGGATCTACAGCCTCAGTCCTGGATCTACAGCCTCAGTCCTGGATCTACAGCCTCAGTCCTGGATCTACAGCCTCAGAACCTTCTTACTACTCTCTCTTTTACCTCACCCTCTTTCTCTTTTATCTTACCCTCTTTTTCTCTCTCTTTTAAGACATGGCCTCCGTCTTTGCTCCTGTTCGTTGCTGCTAAAGGTTATTTTGAGTAAAGTGTCAGGTCGGCGCTCTGCAGAGGAACAACACCTGCTCTGGGTTTGAATACGTGAGAACCAGAGGCTGTGATGTGTCTGAGGAGGAGGCAGGAGCTTAAAGACCAAAGAACAAGTGTGCGCTAATGCTTTTCCAAAAACAACTATTTTCTTCAACTGAGAGCAAGAAAATAAAATACAAAACGGTTTCTACGTGTTTTGTTTCAAAGCCTCCGAGAAATATTCACGTGTTTAATGACACGGCGACTGCTGCTGTATTCACAAGGGTTTCTCAAAATGGGGGGCCAGGACTAGTCGTGAAATTCATATGTTCATTCACTAATCTTTTATAATAATACTGATAATATTTATGCAAGACGGTGTGATTCCATACACAGTGACAAACGGCTATTGTAGCCACAGCTGCCCTGGGGCACACTGGCAGAAGCGAGGCAACCAGTCTGTGCCCTCGGCCCCTCCCACCACAGGCTTTTACTGTTTTAATCTACTGTGATTATTTGATATTTTAAAGCCTTGTGTTTGAACTGTGCTAAAAACTTGCCTTGCTTTCGCTCTCTCTCTGGTCTCTCTCTCTCTGTCTTTCCCTCTCTCTGGTTTCTCTCTCTGGTCTGTCCCTCTGGTCTCTCTCTCTCTCTACTTCTCCCTCCCTCTGGTCTCTCTCTGATCTCTCTCTCAGGTCTCTCTCTGGTCTCTCTCTCTGGTCTCTCCCTCTGGTCTTTCTCTCTCTCTCTCCCTCTGGTCTCTCTCTTTCTGGTCTCTCCCTCTGGTCTCTCTCTCTCTCTGGTCACTCCTTCTCTCTGGTCTCTCTCTCTGGTATCTCTCTCTGGTCTCTCTCTGTGGTCTCACCCTCTGGTCTCTCCTTCTGGTCTCTCTCTCTCTCTCTGGTCTCTCTCTCTCTCTCTGGTCTCTCTCTCTGGTCTCTCTCTGGTCTCTCCTTCTGGTCTCTCTCTCTCTCTCTGGTTTCTCCCTCTGGTCTCTCTCTCTCTCTCTCTGGTCTCTCTCTCTGGCCTCTCTCTGGTCTCTCTCTCTGGTCTCTCCCTCTGGTCTCTCTCTCTGGTCTCTCTCTGTGGTCTCTCCCTCTGGTCTCTCCTTCTGGTCTCTCCCTCTGGTCTCTCTCTCTCTCCCTCTGGTCTCTCCTTCTGGTCTCTCCCTCTGGTCTCTCTCTCTCTCCCTCTGGTCTCTCTCTCTGGTCTCTCTCTGTGGTCTCTCCCTCTGGTCTCTCCTTCTGGTCTCTCCCTCTGGTCTCTCTCTCTCTCCCTCTGGGTCTCTCTCTCTGGTCTCTCTCTGTGGTCTCTCCCTCTGGTCTCTCCTTCTGGTCTCTCCCTCTGGTCTCTCTCTCTCTCCCTCTGGTCTCTCCTTCTGGTCTCTCCCTCTGGTCTCTCTCTCTCTCCCTCTGGTCTCTCTCTCTGGTCTCTCTCTGTGGTCTCTCCCTCTGGTCTCTCCCTCTGGTCTCTCCCTCTGGTCTCTCTCTCTCTGGTCTCTCTCTGGTCTCTCTCTCATTATTTTTCTCACCTATGCGTTAAACTGAAAGTGAATGCACTGAGACCTGATTGCACTTTGTTGGGAGCATATCTGGCTTGGAGTTCACTTCAATCGAGTCAAGTGGCCTAAAAAGCATTTCAAAATCAATCCTCCGACTTAGAGGCCATAAAACCAGTTTATGGCACCTGTTACAGACGGGTAATGGCCGCCAGCCGCTCCAAAAAATGAGAGTGAAGTGTTCTCGTGTTAACCACTCAGCTACTCTCACTCAGCCACGGACACAATACTAATGCAATGCTAATGAGATGCTAATGCGGTCGGCTGCAGAAAATGATGTAGCTTTTGGTGGCAATATTTGGTGTTAAAGGCTCAGGTCGCATGGTGGGCCGTGTCTATGAGGAGTTTGCATGTTCTCCCTGTGCCTGAGTGGGTTCAAAAGTAAAAAAAGGTCTGATATATGGATAATTTCTAGGTTTTTTGAACAGGACGCCATCTTGAATTGCTTGGGTTTTTCTCACTGCGTTATAACCCCATGTTTTCGTCACATGCTGAAACGCTGCATCGACCTGAGTCAATAGTAAAGGTTGGTGTGTTGTTTGGACCCGTGCTGGAAACAGACTGGTTGCCTCATTTCTGTCAGTGTGCCCCAGGGCAGCTGTGGCTACAGTAGGAGTTTATCACCACCGTGTTTGGAGTGAATTAATAATGTCATGTGAAGCGTCTTTCAGTGTCTGCTGTATTAAACCGATGCATTATTTTTATCACCACGAGACCTTCTTCACCGACTCCCACTGGCGTCTGCTGTGGTTGTGTCCTTGGGCAAGACACTTCAACCCCCCCACCCCCCATGACATGTGAAGAGTCTTTGAGTGTTTACAAAAACAAAACATACAGTGCCTTGCGAAAGTATTCAGCCCCCTTGAACCTTTCAACATTTCGCCACATTTCAGGCTTCAAACATAAAGATATAAACTTTTTTTTTTTTTTTCATGAATCAACAACAAGTGGGACACAATCGTGAAGTGGAACGAAATTTATTGGAGAAGTTAAACTTTTTTAACAAATAAAAAACTGAAAAGTGGGGCGTGCAATATTATTCGGCCCCTTTACTTTCAGTGCAGCAAACTCAGTCCAGAAGTTCAGTGAGGATCTTTGAATGATCCAATGTTGTCCTAAATGACTGATGATGATAAATAGAATGCGCCTGTGTGTAATCAAGTCTCCGTATAAATGCACCTGCTCTTTGATAGTCTCAGGGTTCTGTTTAGGCAAGGCAAGGCAAGGCAAGGCATGTTTATTTGTATAGCACAATTCATACACAAGGCAACTCAAAGTGCTGAACAAGATAGCATTAAAATCATAAATAATCACAGAACATTAAAAAGAAAGATAAAAATATAAAATCCCTCAGTTGTAGCACAGCTAAACAGCACAGTTTTTAACTTGGTTTTAAACATAGTCAGAGAGGAGGCCTGTCTCACATCTTCAGGAAGAATGTTCCAGATTTTAGCACCATGAATCTGAAAAGCAGCCTCCCCATGTTTAGTTCTGACTCTGGGCACTAACAGGAGTCCAGTCCCTGTGCTCCTCAGAGTCCGGGCTGGTTCATATGGGACTAACATGTCACTAATATATTTTGGTGCGAGGCCATGGAGAGACTTGTAACAAGCAGAGCTGTTTTAAAGTCTATTCTCTGAGCCACAGGAAGCCAGTGCAGAGACCTGAGGACCGGACTAATATGGTCGTACTTCCTGGTTCTAGTCAGGACTAATATGGTCGTACTTCCTGGTTCTAGTCAGGACTCGAGCTGCTGCATTTTGAATGTACTGCAGCTGTTTTACAGCCTGTTTGGACAGACCTGTGAGCAGGCCATTGCAGTAGTCTAACCTACTGGAGACAAATGCATGGATAAGAATCTCCAGGTCTGCTTTAGACACTATGTTTTTGATCCTGGAAATGTTTTTTAGATGGTAAAAAGCTGCTGATGTTACTGATTTGATGTGGCTATTAAAATTTAAGTCTTTAAAGCGCAGAGAGAACCATGAAGACAAAGGAACACACCAGGCAGGTCCGAGATACTGTTGTGGAGAAGTTTAAAGCCGGATTTGGATACAAAAAGATTTCCCAAGCTTTAAACATCTCAAGGAGCACTGTGCAAGCAATTATATTGAAATGGAAGGAGTATCAGACCACTGCAAATCTACCAAGACCCGGCCGTCCCTCCAAACTTTCATCTCAAACAAGGAGAAGACTGATCAGAGATGCAGTCAAGAGGCCCATGATCACTCTGGATGAACTGCAGATTGGTCCAGAGTGGAATCCTCGTTTATCACTAAAATACTCAAGTCTCATGATTGTGTCAGAAAAGTGGAAGGACTCAGAGAATATAGGGCAAAAGAACAGGCTCCAATCTGCGTGTTTTTGCCATCGGGTGTTTTTCTAATCTGTCCCAACGCTAATTAAACTCTGAACCGCAGCAGTATTTGTGAATCCAAATGAACGTGTCTACATCCAGAGTATTAATTATGCTTCCGTCTGCGCTGAAGGGAACAGGGAAGTGTAAACAAATCACCTTCAGATGCTTAATTGGAGCGTATTAGAATTTGGCTGAAATTAAATAGAGTAAAAACAATCATCGTATTTGGATAAAGGAGATTAATGCTATGGTTTAGTAATTATATGTAATTAGAGCCGGGCCTGAGCGTGGTAGAGTGTAATGGTGGATTTGTTGAGTGTATTTTTCTCTGCTTACAATTGAGTTTTCAGTTTTTAATGGGATTACTGGTCTGGAGAGAGGGCTTCATTCAGCAACGAGCACTTTTCCAATCCATGCTCTTTCGGCTCTGAGTTTAGAGACGACTTTGGCCTCGGACTTTGGAAATGGTATTGATACGAGAGAACTTTAGGTGACTTTAGGATTCAATGGGAAAACTATCATCGCAAATAGACATATATTAAATGAGAGCTCTGTTTTTACTCTCTGCTTCAGCACAACAGGCTGATACACATGCGTAAGATTTTGTTAAGTCATCATTAAAGGGCCCTAATCTGTCATAATAATAAACTGTTCTTTTCCAATACTTCTTTAACTGATAACAGTCGTTCAGAGATATTTGGATTTCTAAATTACTTTTCCAGCCTCTAAATTTTGTTATTGTTTTCATTTCGATGTCCCGCCCTCCATCGTTTCACCAATCAGAAAGTCTGTGATCCGGGCGTCAGAACTCACCGCGTGGAGCTAATCTCACTGGTAAAGTACCATGTGGCGCAGAACTAAAAAAGGTCTCGTTATGATTCTCAAATCATTAACGACAAAACAAGGAATAAAAGCAGGATTTCTATCTTTGTGAAAAAGGTGTTGGTTATAGATTTGTTGTTGACAAAACTCTTGTCTATTCAGCTGTTATGGTCCCAGCTGGATTCGTCTGCATATCTGGCAACCTGAGTCAGGGAGAGTGGGAGAGGCTGCAGTACCACTTTTGGCCACATTTTTACAAACTGCTCCTTTAAAGGACAACTCACCCTCAAATCCACTGTTTTTTCCTGATAAACGGTATAAATGAGTGTCCAATAGTGTTGTCTACATATCCTGGTCATAATCTTGTCACTTTGGTGCAAATTAGTTGAAAGTTAAACTTTCTGCCTAAAACCGTCTGTGAGGCGCCATCTGCTGGCGACCTGTATTACTACATTAGAATTTTGAATTTGGCGCCAACACTGGCGCGGCAGCAAGACCTGACGTCTGAAGCAAGACCTGACGTCAGCAGCCCCCCGCCCAGAGCAATGTAAACGGCCCAGTCTCGTTCACGCCCCCTTTAGTCCTCCAGGCTACGCCCATTTGGAGGAAGATTTGAACAGGAAATGTGAGTGACGTAAGCCTCGAGAAACGGGGGTAAGAACCACTTTAAGAAATTCTATGCAGATTTTTTTACCTATTTTTTGTTTGCACCCTGACGATTCAAATTCCTCGTACGTGACTTCCTGTTACTTAAACAGGCGGCCCAAAAATGAATCCTGATCTTGATTATTCATGTAGTGCACTTCACAGAACAAGGCCACAAAGAAGAAAAAATGAAATAATAGTATCGTGACAACACTATAAACCCATTCTAACAATTCCAGAGAACGGTCGAGGTCCAAAGCAAATCCTACGGTCTCCAAATAAAACTCAAAATCCCATCTCGTATCAAACCCTTTCAAACTACCACACTTTTAAAAAACCCTTGTCTCTTTTGTGGCACTCTAAACAAGACCTCAGAGCAAACAGCAGCTTGTCGTCGCTGCAGCTCTTAGTCAGACGCAGAGGCCGGGGATGGACCAAAAGCAGAAGTTTTAGAGAGTGATGAGAGAACACAGTCATTTGAGTCGGAGGAGGACAGAGGCGACAAAGACTGACACGCCGAACAAAGCAGATCGAGATGAGGAGAGGGAGGGGCCTTTGTGTGGCTGCAGATCAAGATGGCCGCCGCTGTCTGCCGCACAAATGAGACGGTTATGGCTTATTCACCGCTTCCTTCTCCAGTATTTCACGATTTTATGTCGCAGTGATAAATGTGTTTTCTGAAAGCTTTAGAAAATCTCTCGACATTTCTGCACATCTCATTGTTCTCCGGATTTAGTGACATTGATTTTTCCTATTTTTGTCTTTAAAGAATACGTCATATGCATTATTTATGGCTCAGATAATATAATGATATAGATTAAGTGTTTACATTTACTTTTACTTTTGAATGTTCTAGAAACAGCAGAAAGTCTAAAGTGTCTCTGCCTGAGATGTTGCAGCAGTTCAGTGTTCATGGTTTTACACTGGTCCAGACCAGAGCAGAGAGGATTCATGGTTTTACACTGGTCCAGACCAGAGCAGAGAGGATTCATGGTTTTACACTGGTCCAGACCAGAGCAGAGAGGATTCATGGTTTTACACTGGTCCAGACCAGAGCAGAGAGGATTCATGGTTTTACACTGGTCCAGACCAGAGCAGTGAGGATTCATGGTTTTACACTGGTCCAGACCAGAACAGAGAGGGTTCATGGTTTTACACTGGTCCAGACCAGAGCAGAGAGGATTCATGGTCCCAACCAGATAAGGCAACCTTTATGTAATTTTTAGTAAATGTATCTTACCAAGTTCTTACTGTTTTCAGTGCTGGATCTACTTGAGTCTCTCTTCTGAGTAACTTTTTTAAAGCTCGGGAACACAACGTTTTTCTCATGAATAATCCTTTTCCTTTGTCCATTACAGAAAAACTCTTGTAAAAGTAAAATGCTGTGAACAAATCAGACCTCAAAGACAGTCTAAGTCTTTACCTTATTAGAAAACATGTATATCTTTTTCATACTTGTATAAAATAGGTCCCTGTGAGTCACTATCTGATGCTTTGGGCTGAGCGCAGGTGGTCCTCTCTTGTTCCCTTCTCGATCTGTAAAAGTGGATCTAAAATGTGTCAAAGCCCAAAAAATACATGTGCGTGAAGCAGAAGTAGAACTGTTTAAGAGCCAGGAACTAGTTAGAAGCGTTTTTGTTGTTGTGGATTTGTGGAAAGTCAGATACCCCAGCTTTAATAATCGTGACAAAAAACACAGATACGGAGTTGTGTTGCCGTCTCCGTCAGTTACCCCAGATACCCCAGCTTTAATAATCGCGACAAAACACACAGATACGAAGTTGTGTTGCCTTCTCCGTCATTACCCCAGATACCCCAGCTTTAATAATCGCGACAAAACACACAGATACGAAGTTGTGTTGCCTTCTCCGTCAGTTACCCCAGATACCCCAGCTTTAATAATCGCGACAAAACACACAGATACGAAGTTGTGTTGCCTTCTCCGTCAGTTACCCCAGATACCCCAGCTTTAATAATCGCGACAAAACACACAGATACGAAGTTGTGTTGCCTTCTCCGTCAGTTACCCCAGATACCCCAGCTTTAATAATCGCGACAAAACACACAGATACGAAGTTGTGTTGCCTTCTCCGTCAGTTACCCCAGATACCCCAGCTTTAATAATCGTGACAAAACACACAGATACGAAGTTGTGTTGCCTTCTCCGAGCCCTTCAACTAAATCTGCTCGAGTGGCCTCTTGATTACAGGAGTTATTCAACCGTTTACGCCTCGTCGTCATTACCGAGAGTCTGGACGAAAAATCAGTGCTACTTCACGTCCGCACACCCCACTTTGACGACGCACAAACACCGTGATTACACACACACACACACATATACACACACAAACACACACAACCTGCAATCACACAGGAGTGGTGTGAGCAGGAGAGACGGCAGCCATTTCTGAAAAGTGAGTAAACCGGGGTAAGCACTTTTATGACACAGATAAACTTTGATTTCGGAAGAAAAATGTGAAAAATAGTGAATGGATTAAAACCAAGGAAAGTTGGTTTGTGTTTGATTCATAAATAATCCATAAATAATCCCAGTGCATTAGAAAGAGTGAAGATAATATCCCTCAGTTGTTAAAACAGAACTGCTTTTAATCTGGATTTTTCAACTATGTCCTCCTCCTCCATCACCTCCTCCTCCTCCATCTCCTCCTCCTCCTCCATCACCTCCTCCTCCTCCTCCATCTCCTCCTCCTCCATCACCTCCTCCTCCTCCATCACCTCCTCCTCCTCCATCTCCTCCTCCTCCTCCATCTCCTCCTCCTCCATCACCTCCTCCTCCTCCTCCTCCTCTTCCTCCTCCTCCATCTCCTCCTCCTCCATCACCTCCTCCTCCTCCTCCATCACCTTCTCCTCCTCCTTCATCACCTCCTCCATCTCCTCCTCCTCCTGCATCTCCTCCTCCATCACCTCCTCCTCCTCCTCCTCCTCTTCCTCCTCCTCCATCTCCTCCTCCTCCATCACCTCCTCCTCCTCCTCCTCCTCCATCACCTCCTCCTCCTCCTCCTCCATCTCCTCCTCCTCTTCCTCCTCCTCCATCTCCACCTCCATCACCTTTTAATCTGGATTTTTCAACTATGTGAGAGATTGACTTTTTAAGTTCTTCTAATAAGACAATTAAAGCAAAACAAAGCTAGTGCTGCTTAATTACCTGACATGTTTCGGCGGTACACTTCCGCCTTCATCAGAGGTGACACGTGATGGTGTGACGCGTCTTTTATCAGCTGTTGTTGCCGGAAGCAGTCAGTCTGACAGATCTCACAGATCCATCAGACTGACCACGTCCCCCGCCGCGCTGTGGTCTCTGGAGAAGTGAATCCCAAGTGTGAGCCAAGGTGAAGGCCCCCTCGTCTCTGTTGATGGTCCGTGTTCCCCGCTTCCTGATTTCGATCGCCTCTCGTATCCATCTTTTGTATTTATGTTCTTCTGTTCCTACTATTTTTGCATTGTCCCAGTCCATGATGTGATTCTCTCTTTTGCAGTGGTCTGATATTGCTGATTTCAGGTTTTCCTGTGTTGCCTTTTCCTTGGTTGCTCTTGTTAGTCGTGCTGCCGTTTCTTTTTCGCATTCCTTTTGATGTTCCTTTTTTCTCGTGCTGAAAGCTCTCCCCGTTTCCCCGATGTATGTTTTATTGCAGGTTCTACATGGTATTTCGTATATGACATTGCACTTTTTTTCCGGTTGTATTTTGTCTTTTGGGTGAACGAGGATCTGTCTGAGCTTCTTGTGTGGTTTGATAATTGCATTGATGTTGTGTTTTCCGAGTGCTCTCTGTATCTGCTCCGTGACCCCTTGTATGTATGGTATGGTGACTATGTCTTTGTGTTCGTTGTGTTTTTGTGGTTGCTTTTTTCTCTGTTTTTGTGTGATCTGTTTGTTTAGTACCTGTTGTCTTCCTTTCTGTATTGCCCATCTGGGATATTGACAAACCTTGAGTGCTTGGATTATGTGTCCTTCTTCTTTTATCCTGTCTTCTTCCTCTGTGATGTTGTTGAGGCGTTCAAATAGTGTTCTGACAACGGATAGTTTGTGTGCAATGGGGGGTTCTGAAGTCCAGAGTAAATATTGATCAGTGTGTGTTGGTTTCCTATATACTGTAGTCTTGATGCTGCCGTCCTGTTGGTGGTGAATGTTTAAGTCCAGAAAAGGTATGCAGCCCTCCCTCTCCTCCTCATGTGTGAATTGTATGTGTCCTGTTGGGTCTATGGTGTTGAGATGGTCAGTGAGGTCCTGTGTGTGTCCTGTCTTTACTTTTTCTAAAATGTCGTCAACGTATCTTTTCCATAGGGTTGGTTTGTATTGTTGTGGTGCTGTATTGATGGCTCTCTCCTCTAAATCCTCCATGAAAAAGTTGCTCATTATTGCAGATAGTGGATCCCCCATGGCAAAACCCTCCTTCTGTCTGTATATTGTGTCCTTGTATTGGAAGTAAGTGGATTTGGCAATAAAAGTTAGAAGTTGTGTTATGTCTGTGGCTGTGAGGTTTGTGCGTTTTTTGAGTGTCCGGTCCTTCTTAAGTCTCTCTTGTACAATGTGAATAGTGACGTCAACGGGTGTCTTGGTGAATAATGATACAACGTCATGTGATATGAGGGCCTCGTCCTTTTCGATTGATATGTTTTTGAGTTCCTGAGCCAGTTCCTTTGAGTTTTTGCAGTGGTGGTTAGTGTTTCCAATGAGAGGTTTTATTATTTCAACTAGTGCTTTAGATAGGTTGTATGTGACTGATCCTGTGCTGTCTACTATGGGGCGGAGTGGTGTGTTTTCTTTGTGTATTTTTGGTGTGCCATACATACGTGGGGTGATATTGGCTGTGGGAATGAAATGGTTGTATGCTTGTGTGGTTATTTTTCCTGCGTCTGCTAGAGGTTTGAGTAATGACTTCAGTTTCCGTTTCTTTTCCTCTGTGGGGTTATTTTTTAATATTTCGTATGTGTTTGTGTCACTTCTCCAGAGACCACAGCGCGGCGGGGGACGTGGTCAGTCTGATGGATCTGTGAGATCTGTCAGACTGACTGCTTCCGGCAACAACAGCTGATAAAAGACGCGTCACACCATCACGTGTCACCTCTGATGAAGGCGGAAGTGTACCGCCGAAACATGTCAGGTAATTAAGCAGCACTAGCTTTGTTTTGCTTTAATTGTCTTATTAGAAGAACCTAAAAAGTCATAAACATAAGAAGACAAAATTAATTTTCTACATTTATGTGAGAGATTGGAGAGATTTGTAAGCAGCCAACTGAGCCTCTGTGGGAAGCCAGGTTTAGGGTGGCAACTTTTTAAAATTATAATATTGAAAAGTGCATATAATTCTGTAATTGAACTTACAATGTGACACAAATGCATGACACTTATGGGAGAATATCAAGATTTTTGTTAAAGTAATGTTTATAATTGGCTTTTCAAAAAACATAACCAAAACATCTTAGAAAATGACTTTATATGGAAAGACAATGCTAACTCGCTAGCACAATAGTGAAGTGCTCATGGACAAAGTTTTGCTTCAACTCACTCTGGCTCCGATCAACATAAACTCCTCCAGCTCAGTAACTGTTTGTCTCACACTCCTTTTGTGTTTAAAAATCTGTGGTTTAGAGCTCTCTATATTATTATGGGGTTTCATTTTGATATTCACTTTGTCAATCCGGATCCAGACAGTGAGACATAAGTATTGACCAATCATATGCCATACTCAGTGGGGGAAACTCCAGCTTGCCCTTGCAACAGTCTTAGCAACACGTCTGCCCCTGTTATGGCGCGAAGCTACCTCCGTCAGAACAAATGCCCTTATAAGGAAATTGGCTCCAGCTAGCTTATGTTCAAATGAGCTTCTATGCACTATGGGCTACATCAGCACTCGTTCAGTCCACTCCTAATACACTCAGGAACTGCTGAGTCTGCACAAGTGTTTCTGATAATTCACTAGTAACTTTGTCACTAGTCACTTTACCTGTTATCAGTACTACTACAGTACTACATATCTGATATTTACTGTTATCAGTACTACTGTATTATTTCATATCTGATAATTCTGCCTTCCACCGTCACTTTACCTGTTGATATCTTACTGTATTATTCATATCCATCTGATAATTCTCCCATTCAAGTCACTTTACCTGTTGATATTATTTCTGATGTTTATTCTGCTCATATTCTCATATTCTCCGCTGCTAATGTATAATATAGACATCTGTAAATACTCCGAACCAAGTGCAATTGTAGCCCAGATTTTCTTATTTTATTTTATTTTATCTTAAATTTATTGCCTATTATCTTAAATAATAGACTTTAATGTGTGCAATCTGAGTGCTCTGATTTCTCTCTCTCTGCTGTAATGTGCAACGATGACACTGAAATTTCTCCACTGTGAGACTAATAAAGGTTTATCTTATCTTATCTTATCTTAAATATTCAGTCTATGTCGTTAATGTGGAACTAATCAAGGTATCATTCATGCATGGTGACATCACAACATGCCCAGGACCCTTCCCAAAAACAGATGCCCAGGCTACGTCAGCTAAGTTCCTCTTGACGTGGAGAATCAGCAGCTCTACTCCAAGCTCCTCCCCCTCGTCTTACCAAACGCTCTGGTACAAAGGTGAAGGCGGGAACAGAGATGAAGAGGTTTTACTTTGGACTCCACCGACTCGGCTAAATGCTAAATGCACGGCGCCTGGGTCCCGCCTGAGCTGTGGAGCAGTCTTTAGAGTGGCTTAAACAACGTCCTGTAGCAGCTTTGCTAATGCTGTTTCTCCATAAACCCTCAAAAGCAGGTCAGCGGGAGCTCCCTCGGGTCCTACTCCACTTGTGTCTGTAAACATTTAGCTGCTTGGACTCCGCAGAGGGCAGCTAAGTGCTCTGGCTCTCGGCGTGAGTACATGCGGTCCCTGAGGTGTGCGGGCAACAGCGGAGACGCCGCCATGGGGACTGCGCGGCTAAAAATGACACGGCGCTATGATTAATGACCAGCAAAACATCAGCAGGACCCCGCCCCGAACGCACACAGAGCAGGCCGCAGGAAAGCAGAACACGCCGGTAATGACGGAAGATTTGTGACGATCTTGAATCCCTAACGTTCCTAAAAATCCCAACTGCCATCGCCTCAGTGCACTTTAGTAGTCGTTCCACCAATAACCAATCAGAGAATCAAACAGAATACAGAAAATACAATAATAACAAACACGTAGAGCCGTTGGTTCAAAGGGAGTGGGACGACCTATGTTCATAAATGTTAATATACGTCCATAAATGTCCTGTGTATGTATATTCAGTAATGTTCTGGGCTGACGAGAAAAAAAAAACATATATATATTAAAACACAAACTATCTGACCATTTTAGCTGGGTCCTGTCGGCAGCAGTGTAAGCAGACCCTCCACACACACTTCCTCCAGCTCGTCCGGGAATTCTGAGGCGTTCCCGATCCACAGAGACAGTCCCTCTGTGTCCTGGGTCTTCCCCGGGGCCTCCTCCCGCTGGGACGGGCCCAGAACACCTCCCCAGGGAGGCGTCCAGGAGGCATCCAGAACAGATGCCGGAGCCACCTCAACTGGTTCCTCTCGACGTGGAGAAGCAGCGGCTCTACTCCGAGCTCCTCCCGTGTGACTGAGCTCCTCACCCTATCTCTAAGGGAGCAGCCACTCTGCGGAGGAAGCTCATTTCGACCGCTTGTATCCGCGATCTCGTTCTTTCGGTCATAACCCAAAGCTCATGACCAGAGGTGAGGGAGCTCTGACTGCAGACACTGCTCCCTCATGACCAGAGGTGAGGGAGGGAACGAAGATTGATCGGTAAATCGCAAAAAAATGACGGAAAATAAGTTACAAAAAATCTTACATTTGGCAAATGTGTCCAGATTTGAGCACATTCTGACTGCTTTAAAACAACATTTGGAGACGGGACAAGAAAAAATACCTGGTGTTAAAAAGACACAATAATTGTCTCCCTTGGAATGAAAACTCAAAGCAACAGTGAATCTTGTTTTCACACAGTCAGAATGTTTTCAAATTATGATAAAAACACTTCATTCATAAAATTTTACCTCATATTTCATCATTTTTTGCTGTGTACTTTTCGGCTCAGCTTCAACTTTAATCTATAAACTCAACATCTTTCCCCTCCTGCTGTTGCCTCTGTCTCTTTCTGATCGAATCAAAGCCTGGACTGAAACACACCTCCTCCTCCTCCTCCATCACCTCCTCCTCCTCCTCCTCCTCCATCACCTCCTCCTCCTCCAGCTCTTCCTCCTCCTCCTCCATCACCTCCTCCTCCTCCAGCTCTTCCTCCTCCTCCTCCATCACCTCCTCCACCACCAGCAGCAGCTCCCACACCGCCTCACACCGCTCCTATCTCTGGGCCCATCTCAGTCTGCCATAGAAATAGAATTAGACCTTCAGACAGAAACAGCTCTGGTGACAGACGCACCGTAAACGACTGTCCTCTCTCCCTCTCTCTCTCTCTCCCCCTCTCTCTCTCCCAAAATCACATTCTGCTGCGATGGAACGAGGCGGGCCCCAATCTCATATTGTGTTGGATTATTTTGAATCGATAGAAAGAGAAAGAGCAGAAAATAAGATAGTGGGAAACTGAAAAGTGGCTGTGTCTTTGTTGTAATGTGTTATGCAGCTGTGTTTGGATCGTGATCATGATTGAGGACTTCTGACGCGTTCTTATGTGTCCGCTGCAGTTTGTCAATAGTGCGAACGGCAACGGGTCTCAAAGGGTCATTTTTTTTAAGCCGTCAGTCAATCAATATCAATCCAAATGTTTATCTCAGCATTTTCACAGTATAAAAGAGTCACACATTTACTTACAAACCCACACTCACCCATTCAACCTAACAGACCATTTGGAACGATAGGGTCAAAAAACACTACAGAAAATGCCATAACAGTAAGACATGACAATATTATGCAGTACATTGTGTAATCAATCCTACACAACCCACATCATGCATAAATCGTCAAACATCAGAATCTACATACACATAAAATACACATTAAGAGCACAAGATATATTAAAAACATAAAACACAAGTAGTTAAAAACCTTAAAACAATAAAGACACAAATTGGATTAAAATCCTCAACAGCCATAGTGCATTTAAAAGATTAAAAACAAAATCAGAGATACTATCATTCAGTTGTATGCACAGCTAGACAGAACTGTTTTCAGCCTAGATGCCAACCCTAACCCAAACTGCCAGAGCAGAAGCCTGTCTCAGTCCCTGTGCTCCTCCGAGTCCCAGCAGGAGTCAAGTCCCTGTGCTCCTCCGAGTCCCAGCAGGAGTCCAGTCCCTGTGCTCCTCAGAGTCCCAGCAGGAGTCCAGTCCCTGTGCTCCTCAGAGTCCCAGCAGGAGTCAAGTCCCTGTGCTCCTCAGAGTCCCAGCAGGAGTCAAGTCCCTGTGCTCCTCAGAGTCCCAGCAGGAGTCCAGTCCCTGTGCTCCTCAGAGTCCCAGCAGGAGTCCAGTCCCTGTGCTCCTCCGAGTCCCAGCAGGAGTCCAGTCCCTGTGCTCCTCAGAGTCCCAGCAGGAGTCCAGTCCCTGTGCTCCTCAGAGTCCCAGCAGGAGTCCAGTCCCTGTGCTCCTCAGAGTCCCAGCAGGAGTCCAGTCCCTGTGCTCCTCCGAGTCCCAGCAGGAGTCCAGTCCCTGTGCTCCTCAGAGTCCCAGCAGGAGTCCAGTCCCTGTGCTTCTCATAGTCCCAGCAGGAGTCCAGTCCCTGTGCTCCTCAGAGTCCCAGCAGGAGTCCAGTCCCTGTGCTCCTCAGAGTCCCAGCAGGAGTCCAGTCCCTGTGCTCCTCAGAGTCCCAGCAGGAGTCCAGTCCCTGTGCTCCTCAGAGTCCGGGCTGGTTCATATGGGACTAACATGTCACTAATATATTTTGGTGCGAGGCCATGGAGAGACTTGTAACAAGCAGAGCTGTTTTAAAGTCTATTCTCTGAGCCACAGGAAGCCAGTGCAGAGACCTGAGGACTGGACTAATATGGTCGTACTTCCTGGTTCTAGTCAGGACTAATTTGGTCGTACTTCCTGGTTCTAGTCAGGACTAATGTGGTCGTACTTCCTGGTTCTAGTCAGGACTAATTTGGTCGTACTTCCTGGTTCTAGTCAGGACTAATACGGTCGTACTTCCTGGTTCTAGTCAGGACTAATGTGGTCGTACTTCCTGGTTCTAGTCAGGACTAATGTGGTCGTACTTCCTGGTTCTAGTCAGGACTAATTTGGTCGTACTTCCTGGTTCTAGTCAGGACTAATACGGTCGTACTTCCTGGTTCTAGTCAGGACTAATGTGGTCATACTTCCTGGTTCTAGTCAGGACTAATACGGTCGTACTTCCTGGTTCTAGTCAGGACTAATGTGGTCGTACTTCCTGGTTCTAGTCAGGACTAATATGGTCGTACTTCCTGGTTCTAGTCAGGACTCGAGCTGCTGCATTTTGAATGTACTGCAGCTGTTTTACAGCCTGTTTGGACAGACCTGTGAGCAGGCCATTGCAGTAGTCTAACCTACTGGAGACAAATGCATGGATAAGAATCTCCAGGTCTGCTTTAGACACTATGTTTTTGATCCTGGCAATGTTTTTTAGATGGTAAAAAGCTGCTGATGTTACTGATTTGATGTGGCTATTAAAATTTAAGTCTGAGTCCAGTATTACCCCTAGATTTCTGACCTTGTTTGAAGGTTTTAGGGAGAGAGACTGTAGGTGACAGATGACGCTCTCTCTTTGTTTCTGGGGACCAAAGACAATCATTTCAGTTTTTTCTGCGTTTAGCTGAAGGAAGTTGTTTTGCATCCACTCACTGATCTGTTGGATACAGTGAAGGAGTGAGTCCACTGGTCCATGTTCTCCTGCAGTCAGTGAGACATAGATCTGAGTGTCGTCTGCATAGTTATGATAGGACACTTTGTTTCTGCGTATTAACTGACCTAACGGCAGCATGTAGAGATTGAACAGAAGAGGTCCCAGGATCGACCCCTGTGGTACTCCACAGGTCAGGGCCATATGATCTGAGACACAGTTTCCAATCTCCACAAAGTACTTCCTGTCTTCAAGGTAAGACCTAAACCAACTTAGGGCGGTGCCAGCGACGCCAACCCAGTCCTCTAGTCTCTGTAAGAGGATCTCATGGTCGACAGTGTCAAAGGCAGCACTTAGATCTAACAAGATTAAGATTGAGACTTTGCCTGCGTCAGTGTTAAGTTTGATGTCATTTGTTTATACAAAACACTGCGAAGATACAAACAAAAAACATCCTGAGGTCCAGTACAGCATTACTTATATGTGGACAACAGGTACGTTCTTGTAAAACGTTGCTGGTGCAACTTATAGTCCAGAAAGTACGATACATGTTTTAAAATCCCTGCTTCATATCACATTATTTCACACATGGTATTAGCCTCTTCTGCTGCAGATCTTGTCTACAGAGTCCTTCATAACCGCTACCTTTTCTGTACATCTCTTCAATCAAATTATACATATTTAAAAAAAATAATATTACAAAAACGTTACGCTACAGCCTTCAGTTAGCTTACGCGGTCGCTGCTTCCTCCTCGGGCTAACGTCGTTGTAGCCTTGAGAGCTTTTCTCCTACAACCTTGAAATAATAACCCGTGCATGTGATGTTTTTTCCTTGCAGGGAATTCTCTTTTCTTCGCATAATTTATCCGTATCCATATTTAATGACGGCGAATAGTCTACAGTGGCTCGTAATCGCAGTGTACATTAGTGATGCCTTTGATTAGGCTTCAACAAACTGAAAGAACCCATATGTTTTATTCACTTCTTTATTCACCTTCGGCTGTGCTTTAAGGAGGAGTCTATGGTCTCTCTCTCTTGTCTCTCTCTCTTGTCTCTCTCTCTGGTCTCTCTCTCTGGTCTCTCTCTCTCTGGGTGTTAGTAATGCATTTTGATTAGGCATCAACACACTGAAAGAATGAACACATGTTTTATTCATTCGCTCTTACTTTCTGCCGTGCTTAAAGGAGTGGTCTCTGGCCTCTCTCTCTCTGGTCTCTCTCACTGGTCTCTCTATCTCATGTCTCTCTCTCTCTGGTCTCTCTATGGTCTCTCTCTATGTTCTCTTTCTGGTCTCTCTCTGGTCTCTCTCTGGTCTCTCTCTGGTCTCTCTCTGTTCCCTCTCTGGTCTCTCTCTGCTCTCTCTCTGCTCTCTCTCTGGTCTCTCTCTCTGCTCTCTCTCTGGTCTCTCTCTGGTCTCTCTCTATGTTCTCTTTCTGGTCTCTCTCTGGTCTCTCTCTGTTCCCTCTCTGCTCTCTCTCTGCTCTCTCTCTGGTCTCTCTCTCTGCTCTCTCTCTGGTCTCTCTCTGTTCCCTCTCTGCTCTCTCTCTGCTCTCTCTCTGGTCTCTCTCTGGTCTCTCTCTGGTCTCTCTCTGATCTCTCTCTGCTCTCTCTCTGCTCTCTCTCTGATCTCTCTCTGCTCTCTCTCTGCTCTCTCTCTGGTCTCTCTCTGGTCCCTCTCTGCTCTCTCTCTGCTCTATCTCTCTCTAGTCACTCTCTCTTGTCTCTTTCTCTGGTCTCCCTCTCTAGCAGTGATGGGAATAACGGCGTTACTTTTTTCAGTAACGAGTAATCTAACTAATTACTTTGACTGTAACTATAACGCCGTTATCATTTCCGACATCCTGTTACTGTGCGTTACTCAAGACGCACAATGAACTTCTCTTTTTACTTCGTGATAGGACCTGTCGCGTGTTGTCATGAGAGAAGGATGAGAAAACCTCTCAGCAGTTATTGGCTGATGTAAAACATATTTCCTTAACAATCTACATGTCTACAGTTGAGAGGATGCTCATAAATTGTGTTTTTGAAACAAATATGGGTCTTAATCGCGCTCAACCACGGCTTATATCACCGTGAGGCTTCAGAGGAGCTCATGTGAGCGCAGAAGGCTGCATACAATTCCATCGATAAGCTCCTTTCTCTTCCTGGTTTATCTGCTAAGGACAGCAGCAGGTTTGGCTAACATACATGTAACACATTTTAAGATAATTTAAAATGTACTTAGGGTAATTTTTCAAAGACTATAGGAATGATAAGAAAGAGGTGAAGTGTAAGACGGTTGATTTTAGAAATTGGATGCACCCGGCTGCAGCAAAACAGTGAGTTTACGGAGGAGACACGCGTTTTGTTTTACTTTTTAAAACTCATTGGACTCATTTCCAAACGGAGGATTACATATCTACGCTCAAACTATTATCTAGACTTAAACACGTATATATATATATATATATATATGATATATATGTTCATCTGATTGGGCTGAAGTCAGTGCTTCACCGGTGT